TTAGTCCATATCCACTTCCTCACAGTCTAAATTGCTGGTCTCTGCTGGACAGTTTGGCTCTGTGCGACAATCCGGATTGTCTCTGGATTGACAAGCGTCTTTCGCGGGGGACTTTGGTTGCACGACGGCGCAGCTACTGTCCATCTGGGAAGAGGAATCGCAATAGGCAGAGGGGGGAGAGGAGGAGGAGGAGGAGGAGGAGGAAGCGGAGGAAGAGGAGCAGGCTGTGGCCAGAGGGGAAGCCACGGCCTTCCTCAGTCCGCAGAGGGCCCCGGGCGCGACGGAGGAGCTATTCTCGGGCGGCAAGCGGCCTCCGGACGTGGAGATGGCGGCGGTGCTGCTGCTCTTGGGGGGCGCGGGGTCCGGGCTGGGGTTGGCGGCGGGCAGAGGGGAGCCCCCCTGCGGCGGCTCTTGGCCCGGGTTGCTCTTGAGGGCGGCTTGGGGCACGATGAAGCCCAGCGGCTGCGTGATGGGGTAGAGCAAAAAGTGCCCCTTGCCAATGAGCGTGCGCGCCGTCGGGGCGCACGGCGCCAAGGCCTGCGGGAAATCCAGCGCCGCTTTCCGCCGCGGCGGCGAGTCCGACAGGAGGCTCTCCACGCTGAACGGGTTGAGCTTGGGCAAGGCGCCGCCCGAGCCGCCCACCCCGCCTCGCGCCGTCGAGGGAGGCGGCCCGCACTCGGAGCCCGACGGCGCGGACCCGTCCTTGTCGGCACACCGGTTGCTGCCGCCGCCGCCGCCACCACCACCACAGACCCCGTGGCCGCCTCGGCTCGGGTAGAAAGCCGAGGCCGCAGGGTCGCAGCTGCCCGGCCGGGACGGGTTGTGCGGGCCGATCTTGCAGGTGTCCGGAGGGTCCGGAGAGAGGCCTCCGCCGCCGCCGTCGCTGTCGGAGCTCTGCGTGCTGCTGTTGACGGAGAGGCCGCTGGGCGAGTGCAGGTTCCGGCTCTGGCTCTTGAGCAGCTTCTTCTCGTGCTTGCGCTTTTTCTTCTCCATCTTCTCCAGCTCCTTGCGCGCGATCTCCTCCGGGTCCATCGGCTCCCCGCTGCACGTCGTCGGGTGGGAGTTGTGCGCCGGCCGGCCGGGCCCCTTCTTCGTGTTCTCTTTCTTTCGCCATTTGGCCCGGCGGTTTTGGAACCAAACCTACACACCGAACAAGGAGGAGAAGCCGTTAACAGCAGGGACCCCCTGGTGGCCCCCGAGGGCCAGTGGGGGAGGAGGGGGTCGCCAGCTTCCTCCCGCCCCCCCAACCCTCCATTCCCCCTCCCTCCTTCCCTTCTTGCTCGGGGCGCAGAAGCAACCAAGTCCCGACCCGCGTTAACCATTCCTGGGTAGCTTGCATTTTATCCTATTTTTAATAAAGAGCGAAATCTTACACACTTCTAATCAGAAGCCAACCCCAGCGAGTTAAATGGGCTTTACTCCCAGGTAAAGGAGCCTAGGATTGCAGCCTCAAGAAATCAGAATTCGGACAGAAAGGGAAGTTTGGTGCTTTTAGTGGGGATGCAAGTGGAGACCACTCCAGCAAATATATAACTCAAAGAGAGAGAGGGAAATAATTATGCGGGTCTCTCTTTTTTTGGGGGGGGGGGAGGCCGTCTGTAAATTCAAAGGCTTAGAGCCAACAGCGTGCAAGGAAAGGAAGGTACAAGAAAAAAAATCAAAGCGCCACCGGAGATATTGTTGTTGTTGTTGTTTGCTCTTTTCCTCCCCTCGCTGTCTACCTTCCCTGCTACGTGCGTAAAAATCCAGGGCTGGGTATCCATACCGGCTTCCTCTTTCGGAAGTTTGATAGCAAACTCCCACGTCGTCGTCGTCGTCCCCCCGCCCCCAAAACACCATACAAGAGATTGTGCTTGTTGGTTCAAATGTAGCAGTTCCTACACTTCCGCTCATGGGTTTGTGCGCTCGGTTCGGTTGGCAAGGGCCCTCGGGCGGCAGGGAAAACATCTTAATTATTTCGTATTAATCGGGTGACAGTATATTGTTGTTATTATTATCATTACCATTATTATTATTATTTTAAAATGTCACTGGGGTGTGGGTGGGAAATGCCATGAACTACGAATAAAAGTCTTTGCTCCCTTTTCACTCCCCGCGCCCCCCCCCCGAACAATCACACAAGTCACCACATCCCGGGAATCCCCTTCCGAAGTGAATTGCGAAGGAGGAAAGGAAAATTGGAAAAGGGGGGGGGGGGAGAGAGAGAGAGTTCTTGGAATCTGCCACACGTGTTTTCTCGACAACAACCTCCCTCCCGCTCCCCTTAAAATCACGACTGCATCCTTTCCTGGGCTTTCATTCAGAGGGGGAGAGAGCCTAACTTGAAGACTGTGAAATTGACAAACGAAAGGGATCAAGATTTGACCCTACGGAAAGTCAGATGTCACCACCAGCTTTTAAAGAACTCTCCCACCGTCACACACGCACACGAGTTTCTTTTAAAAAACCAAATAAATAAGGCACGCATCCCACCGTTTTTTCAATAGCAACATCCTCCCCCCCCCCCACACACAACTAAAACATACTGATCGAAGACGAGGAGGAATAATACTTTAAGATCAACGAGGTTTGAGAAAGTGTCCACAAAATGAAAAACGTTTGGCAAAGGTGTAAAAACAAAACCCCGAAAGGGAGAATAAGCTTGGGGGGGGGAGGGGTGTGCTATTTCCCACGAGCTCTCAAATCAATAAATTAACATTCACTAACAGGTCCCCAACTTAAACATCACTGTTTTAGTATCAAAGTGAGATGGTTCCCCCCGAATCCTTTGACTCTCATGCACTTATCACTCTTTGCCCCCACCTCAATCATCATGGCAGAAAGCCCACAATAAAATCACACCATTAATATTAATAATTTTTAAATCAACTTTCAAAAGTAAACCGGAGATCAGGATGGGGTGGGGAGAGTTTCTGGGGTGCATAAGAATTCTAGGTTTAGAGGGTGTGTGTTTTTAAGGACGTAGGAGGTGAAGGGAAGGATAAGTAACTTAATCAACCTTGCTGGTCCCTATCAGAAAACCTTGTTTCTTAAAATAATAAGAAAATAATAATAATAATAATAATAATAATAATAATAATAATAATAAGCTTGCTCTGCTGGTATGTATTTTGCAATTCCCTATCCTTTCCTGACTTGTCAGTTCCAGCAGCCCTTGTCACCGAGAATTACTCATTATCGTATTAGAGGGAAATCGAGGGTCTTGACTTCATTCAACAGCCTCCGAACAAATTGGATAAAAGGATTTCAAAACAGAAGAGGTCAGGAGAGGGGAAGAGGGGGAGGGTGGAAGCATTTTGTAAATACACCTTTTAGACAATGCCAGCCCGGATTAATAAGAGTCAGTAATGTTATTAGCCCCTGCGCTTTTGCAAGTAACAACTCTATTATTTTTTAAAACGCACGCAGGCACACAAGGGGCTTCTGTGGGAGGGAGACTCCTTGTTTTCGATTGCCCGGCTGCTCCGATATTGGGGGGGGCGTTGAAAAGTGTGTCACCCCAAGTTCCTCCATGCTCGACCCCAAACCCCCAGAGCCAGGAAAGATGTTGCAAAGTTTGAGTAGGGTTTTCTATTTCCAAATTCAAAACTAAAGGTGGGGGAGTAACGGTATTAGTACCTTGTTATTAAAAATAATTGCCTATGAGATTATTTTTAAAGTCTGCTCTGAAGCAGGGGGGAGGTGCAATTGTCCCCCCCCAAAAAAAAAATTTAAAAAGTATACAAGAGCGGTTGAAACCAAGATGCAATTTCATATAGGTGAAAATTGTGCTACAGGGCAAATATACATATATGTAATCTAACCCCCTTTGCCATTTTCCCTTTAAGATCTCCCCGACCGCTTCCCTCTCTCTCTCCCCCTCCCCCAATCCCAGGGGCTAAGCGGCAAATCTGAACTCGCGTGTCCCTCATCAGGCCTAACTCTGGGAAATATTTAATGTAAACTACCTCAAGAACCTTCTGCACTTAAACCGCTTCCCGGGGGTCTACTTCTTTTTAGGGGTTGTCGGGCGGGGGAGAAAATAGAGACGAAAAAACAAATAACTCCCGAAAGCTAGAGTACAAATAAATATAAATGGAGAGGGGTTTTCCCCTACCCGCGGGCGGAAATTAAAGGAAAGGTAGTAGAGGAACTGGGGGGGGGGGGGCGCAAGACCACTTCCACGCAATGAACACCGCCCCCAGCATGTTTAGGAGCAAAGAAGGGAGGCATTTATTTTTGCTAACTCCCCCACCCCCCCACCCCTCTAAAATGCTTTCCCCAACTTTAACAAAACCACACACAAACACAAAGTTGGTAAATTTGGTTTGCTGGCCCGACAGAGAGAGGGGAGGGGGGCGCAATATTTTGGTGAGGTCAGAATTTGGGCCGGATCCAGCTCAAGGTGCGTAACTCTTTCCCATGCTAAGGAACTGACAGGCTTTGCACAGAGTAGTCTTATATATACGTTTACCGAGAGCTGAATATCCCACTGTGCGCAATGGGCAGGTGTCAGGGCTTGAAGCCTGAAACGAGTTTGACTGCGGAGTGGACCCTCGTGCGCTTTATGTTGTAGAGGGAAGGAAGAGGAGCCCCGCTCGGTTTTTTTTACCTGCACTCTGGATTCCACCAGATCCAGCCTCAACGCCAGCGCCTCTCTCATAAATACGTCGGGGTAGTGACTTTCGTTAAATGCCTTCTCTAACTCTTCCAGCTGCCAACCGGTGAAATTCGTGCGCGTCCGTCGCCTTTTGCAACCTGGACTCTCCTTGTCAGGATCCACAGAGTCTGGGGGGGGGGGCGGAAAAGAGCGATGAGAGAAGCAAACTCTTCATACCAATTACTAATTGATAGACGATCACCTTTCATTCCATAACAATGGGGTAAAAACCACCTTCATGTTTTAAAACTGATGGAGTCACCACTCTATCAATTTTCTATATGTATACCTGGACCGTATATTCTTATTTCGAAGCTAAAACCCAAATGATGGAGACACAACTTCCTTGAATATATTTTTTTGTCGCCAAAGGTTAATTCGAGGATTGTTTACAGGAGAAATATATCATTTAAGATTATGGAACGAGCCTTACTTTTTATTTGTTCAAGCGAAGTTGGACAGTAATACATATATTTGTCCTGATTTCGAGAGCTAGGATTTTCTTGCTTTATAATTTCAATTTTTTAAAAAAAAAATTGGCACGTGGTCCGGTCCCGTCCCCCCACTCTCTTATTTTCAAACGAGATTCAAGGTAGGTTTGTTGGAATAAAGTTACCAAATAAAGGACACGCTTCAGGTCTGTGAGGTCAAAAATAAAAGGGCCTCCATTATGTCCTGAGTGGATTTGTAGGTTTTAGGCGTTTGAGTTTTAAAATAGAAGGGAATCTAGGAGGTGGCACCTGGAAACTTTCGATGGGCCGCGGAGCCTTTGCGCAAAACTGTGAAATCCTGACCTTCCCAAGGCCCTCGGTACCCTCCTTCTCGTCTTCTCCTCCCCCGCTCACCCAGACCACCTGTCTTTTGTTCGGATTTTCTGTTTGGGCGAGCGAGGACACCAAACGACTAGCCCAAGCCGAAAGCCAGATCGGTTCCGATGTGCGCAGGGAGCGCTTGTCTCGCTTCCTTCAGAATAAGTGCGGGGGATTTTAAAAAGCAGAGGTATCTTATGGTTTTTGCATAAATACTATACTTGGTATACAAAAAATAGTATATTTTGGGTCCTTTTAAGAGCTAAAGGGGAGAGGGGGAGAAGCCTAAAGAGAGAAGCCGTTTCCGTTTCCACCTTCAGCAAATAAAGTGAGTTGCTGGGGGCAGAAAAATCAGCAAAGGAGCTTACGGAGGAGGCGAGGGCCTTTTCTCACTCCCCAATTTCACAGAACCTTGATGATTCCCCACCCCCCCAAAAAAAAACCTCTATTCGGGTTCCTTCCCCCCCAAACATCCCCACTTCTACTGGAAACAAAACAACTAGGACGGAGAGAAAAAGGGAAGAAGGAGGAAATGATCGATTGCGCATCGCGGCTCCTGGAGCTCTGGCGAGGCGCGAGTGCCTCTCCGCATCGGAGAAGTTGCTTGCGATGAAAACTGGTGGCAGAGTTCTCTTTTAAAAATCTAGATGTCTGATCCTGACCCCTGATTCACCCCTGCTCCTGCTCAGTCTGGCGCTCCCCCCCCCCACCGAAAGACACCTGGAAAGCCCTGAGTTTTATCCTGCCGGTGATTCCAGGAAGGAGGAGAAGGCGAGGAGGGAAGCAAGCGAGCTGTTACGGATGGAAGGATGGAGGCACCGGATCGGGCCGGATCCCGGGCGCCGCCAGCCCAGCGCTTGCCATGCCCGCCGACTTACCGGAGAGCTTGAAGGGCTGCCCGTCTCCGCAGCCGGAGGGGATGAGCGGGGTGGGGTTGACCACGGAGGCGGCGCAGGAGCCGTTGAGTAATCCGTCGATGGAGAAGGGTACCGAAGCCGCGGCGGCGGCGGCGGCGGCCGACTGCAGCTGGTGTCCGGCCAGCTCGTAGACATGGTGATGGCCGAGGGGGTAAGGGAAGCCCACCAAGCCTCCGAACTGGGCATGGGGGTGCTCCAGGATGCGGCTGTCCATCATGGAGGGGGCGGACGGGGGGTGGGGGGTTGCGCGCCTCCCTTAACGCAGCTGCGGCGGCGGCTGCTGCTGCTGCTGCTGCCGCTGCTGCTGCCGCCGCCACCGCCGCCGGAGGAGCGCCGCCGCGGTGTAGTGGTGGCAGCAGCGTCGTCGACGGTGGCGAGGTAGACGCGCGAGGAAGGGCGCATGCTGGAGGGCGCCCGGGCGCTTTAACTTTATCAACATCAGGCCTCCCCATAATTAGGCTCAGGCCCGGGGAATTTGGGACCAATAAGAAACGTTAATCGGCCCTGACGTCAGAGACGTGCCAGGGCGGTGGGGGAGCCAAACGTTTTCCATATCGATTGCTAATTATACCTGACATCCACCCTCAATAAACAATATCAAAGCTGTCACAACAAGACAAGCAGGAGAAAGGAGGGAAGAGGAGGAGGAGGAGGAGGAGGAAAGGGAAAGGGGGGGTCTCTTTGATAAGAACTCCTCCAGCCCCTGGAGTAAGGGGGTGGGGGAGGGAAGGAGGGAGCTGCCTAGGCCAACGAGAAGAAAAGGGATTTGGGGGGTGCGGGGGAGAAAACAGGAGAACTTAGAGATCTGATTGATACCCAGTTAAATACTCAAAAGCAAGCGGAGTTACGCGCTCGTCGTCACCCACCCCACCCCCCAACCTTCTCCTCCAAATCACTAATAGATTTCCCTTTAAAACATTCGCTGGTGTGTTGTGGAAAGAGGGTCTCTGTCTCTCTCTCTCTCTCTCTCTCTCTGACCCCCCCCTTCTTTTTCTTCCCTCCTCCCTCTTCTCTCTCTCTCTCCCTCCCCCCCCCCACCTCGTCTTCTTCTCCGTCTACACCAGAAACGTTCGACTCCTCTGAACCTTTAAAGTGATGTTGCTCCAATTACAGGGAGACATTGAGCGGCAAATAGACTGATCCAATAATAGGAGATTCATCATCCGCTCTTTCCAGAGCTGTCACAATGAATTTAAAACTACAAGCCTTTTCATCTCCTCTCAGGCTTCTCTAGCGCAGGGAGGGGGATTGGAAAGACTTAAAAAAAAAAAAAAGTAGGGGGGGGAGGCGCAAAAAGGCAGAAGGAAAGGGGCGCGGGAGGGGGGGTGTAGTATATATATCTTTATGGAATATTTCTCCCCCGCCCTGCCCTGTATTTAAACCAGCGCCATCCGATCGTATCAATCAAAATAATAATTAACGCCATCCCCCTATTGATCCATGGAAAAGCCCATATTAAATTATGAATGGGGCCAGAGGGTTTCTAATTAAAAAGCAGTCTATTTAGCAAAAGGGAGGCCCAATGTGGGTGTGAGGTTTATATATCTATATATACCGGTACATACACACACATACACACAAGGGTGACACACAAACACGTAATGACATGTGCATGTGTGGATCCATTCACCAAAAGCAGGCGTAGAGGAAATGTATAAATGGGTCTATTAAGGTCAAAAAGCAGGTACCCCTATTTCAACCTGCTGTCCTTAGACAGGACTTACTTGCGAGTAAACTCCACCGGGTGAAACCAACAAACGGGTAGGCCCGCAGAACTCCTGGAACCAAGCGGGCTCCCCCAAACTTCAATCCCTTGGAGGTGCCTTTACTCGCGAGTAAGCGCTCCACTGAATTCTCGCCTTGCCTGAGTTGGGTTAAATCTCCAGCACTGAGCCCTCCGGCCCTCTGCGCTCCTCAGGACGCGTTTTCCTCTTGGCCTGGATGCGGTTGGCACCATTGGGAACAGCATCGGCCTCTCCTGAGGCTGCAGCCTTTAGAATTCTTGCTCCGGAGCAATGTGGAGCCATCCAGACTTTTCCAGAGTGACTCCGGAGCGCGCAGCTCGAAAGACCCCGGCCTAACCCTTGCGCGCAGCTTTTTCTTCCTATTTTTGGTCACCCTCTTACCCTAATTGAATTAGCTCCTCTCCTGGATTGCAACTTCTCGGCGGCCCGGCTTGGTTACCCCAGTTGGAAGCGAGTGTCAAGGATTTCGGAGTCCCTTCGGCAGAGGCGGGAGGAAGAGATTCGGCTGAAATAATCCTCGTAACTTTCTTGTTCCGAAGTTGGACACTTTTGTTAACGTTGCAGCCGGAGCTCCGGCCCTTTTGCTCGGAAGGATTCATACAGGAAGCTTTTCAAAGTGTGGAGTTGGATGGAGAATTGTCACAAGCAGCTCACCACGCTTACTCGGGAGTAGGCGCCTCTGAGACCGAGGCGGAGTCCCTCCACCCCACAGAAGCCTAAAGAGTAGAAAGTGCGTTTGTGTGACTTCTTTGCAGCTTAGATGCCTGGGATACCGTCACCACCTCAGCCTAAGCAGAGTTAGGCGCGCCTAACTAAACCCAGGGAAGCCGGAGGGGTTTAACTTTGGATAGGGCCGGGCTGTCAATCTCCAGACTTCTGAGGCCTCTTTTTCTTCTCTGTCGCTTGACTCCTCAAACTTACAGTCCTGGGAATGTGGTATCTGGAGGTTGCGGGTCGGAAGCGGTTCTGTTCGCCTTAGGCTGCGATGCGCACAATTTCCCTAGCAGAAAGTTCCACGGATCTCATCGGGGCTGACTTCCGAGTAGTCAGATGGCCCTCTTCACAGTGTAAAGGGATCCTGAGCTGACTATGCTCCAGCTTCCGAGGGGATCCAGTATATCTGGGATTAGTAAATAATAAATGGAATGTGGCTTCACTTTTTAAATGACTTGTTTATTTATTTATTTCATATATTTCTTTAAAAGCATTCCTGAAGACAAACTCCTGGAAAGGTGGACAAGGAAAGGAGAGAGAAGAAGGAAGATCGTCCGGAGAGCAAAGAAAAACCCCTTTATTTAAACCTAAACAGAACCTGACTGGCATGTTCCTACACCTCTTAAATCTTTCCAGGGTCCAAGAAGAGAAAGCAAAATCTGTTATTGCTAGGGAACATCTTTTTAAAAGACTTTCCTTTCCCACCCAAATCCCTAGTCTTGATGAGCCACAAAAGATGCGTTTCCCAAAGTGTGTTTCCCGGTGGCACGCTTGAATCCGAAGTAAACATCAGGATCAAAACTCCTAATCCGAATTGTCCACTTCCTCCCCCCCTTTTTGCTTTTTTTTAAAGCAAAAAAGGAAAAATCTAATTGAATATGTTCCAACAGACCACTGGCTGCCTTCTTCCCCCCACCCCAAACCCTCCCAACCCTACTCGACTCTAGATGGCAGTTTAATTATTACCTTAAAAAAATAAAATAAAATAAAATGCCATTTAGACACACACTCACACGCGCCCCAACTCGAACCCGCAAAGAGAAAATGATGGGGTTAGGATTAATTCCGAGGTGAAGGGGCAAGAGCCTTCCCTTTTCAGCATAATTTAATTTCTTTCTCTATAAATACTAAATGTAAACTGTAGCCACTGAAGCAAGTTTTCGCCTGTAGCAATAAAAGCCCTCATTTTCTGTCGGATTTCTGGATAGGAATGCCAAACGAACGTGTTTTTGAATACAGAACGGTAATCAATCCTGCACAAGAATAAAAAACGGGGGGAAAGATTCCCCCTCCCGCTCTCTTCCTCTCTCTCTCTCTCTCTCTCTCTCTCCCTCTCTCCTTCTCTTTATTATAATGAATTAATTCGACTTTATTTATCCCATTTTCTGGAGCTGACAGAATGTTAATTTGAGTTGAAATTTCGCTCGCCTCTCACTCTCTAACCCTTGCCCCCCAGACTGGCGTGTTGTAATAACCTGAATCTTTCAACAGAAGCCCTGATAATTGTTACCTTATTAGCATGCAAATTGTTTAATTAATATTATTATGGAGAAGCATACAATCCGTCCGTCACTTGACCTCGAGAGCAAGTCCGCGTAGCAACCGGCTCTGTGCATTTCAATAGCGGGCACATTTCAAAAAAATAATCGACTTTGCAAAAAGAAATATATAATTTTTTACCCTCTTCCTCCTCCCCCCCCTTTTATTTCATGTTTCCCGGATCTTTGTGGAGTTCAAAAAATAAAATAAAATAAATCTCTCTCAAAGTGCTCGAGAGGAGTCTTTCACGTGGGGTGGGGGGCCAAGCAGGCGGGGGCTCTTTGATCCAGCCCTTCCTTGATATCTCTTTATATTGCACTCCATCTTTAAAAAGAAAAGAAAAGAAAGAAACACACACACACACACGAGAGATAAATCGTTTTATTCTCTGCCCTCTCTTTTATTTATTTATTTCAACACACACACCCCCACGCGCCCCGACATCAAAAAATATTTTAAAATAATTGCTTCCTTGCCAATTGCAGCTGCTTTAAAGGCAACCGATTTCGAGGGCTGTTCCTCCAAGCCAGATTGGGGGGAAAGGAGAGAGAGAGAGAGAGAGAGAGAGAGAGAGAGAGAGAGATGGTGGGGCGAGGGGGGGGGCAGGAAGAAAAAAGAAAGCAGCCCTTGACACGCAGTCCTGGGAGACGTTGCATTTAAATCCCTTTTTCTACAGCCGAGTGACATTGTCAGATGCTAGCTTTAATTAACTTGATAATAAGACGTACAAGACTCGCATTCGGGACGCCGCCTCGCCTCGCCTTGTTTCCATCCCCCTCCACGTCTCTCCCCCCCCTCTCTCTCTTATTATTATTATTGCAATCTATGTGTTTTATCTTATACAGAGCTCCTCGTTCTTGGCCGGCCTCTTTTTCTTCTACTTTCCCCGCAAAGAATCGGAAAAAGCCCCCAAAATTAAACTTTTCCTTCTTCTTTTTTAAATAGAAAAGGGGACTAGTTCTGCCTGGGTTGGTTTAGAAGAGGCAGAGCGTCGAGGTTACCCCCGGGAGGGCGCTGGGAGAGGGAGTCAGAAAAAAGTGAGTGGGACTGGCTGGGGAGAGCGAGGCAGAAGTGGCTAAAGGGATCTGAAACGGGTGGGTGGATGTTGCCATAGGGAGCTGTCTATATACACCAAGACAGGTCATTGGTCCCTCTAGCCTGGCCAATAACTCTCAAGGATTGGTCCATGTAGCTTAGTAGTGCCTACACAGGCTGGCAGCAACCCCTCAAGATTTAGGAGCCTCTCCCGACCCTCCCTGAAGATGCAGGGACTGAAGCTGTGAGCCAAGACCTTCCCCATGAAACCTCCATGAGATTTAAGGACTTTTCAGAGGCTCGTTTGCTCTGCCATCACCACGTTCAAGTTTTGGTTTATCTGATAATTTC